CATCCGAAGATACCAGATACATTTAAAGATCAAGTGTGTTTCAATGGATATAGATAAAGTTATGTGAAGTGTTTGCCAGGAGAAAATACGTTCAAACAATTCTTTAGTCTGCGTCTATCCTATAGATAAAATTTATAACGAGCTCTGCAAAAATATGTGTTTTGTTTCGTAGTTAATTATCATTAGTTCCTGGTTTACAATATCATTATGGTTTATCTAAGGAAGTATGTTTGCTAGGATAGGACCTAGTAACTAAATTTTTGAGGGGGTAAATCCAGGTGGTTTAAGTGAAGGTTTATCTGTAAACATATCGAGTGAACTTGAGTCTAATATTTTTTCCCACAGAAATGTCGTCTTTATTTTCATTACGTTTTTAAATAGTTGAGGTTTATTTTTTGTAAAGGTTAAGTCACTTGAAAATATATTAAATAGAGCTTAAAAGTTAGTATGTTAGATGAATGATTCACAACTTACATTAAAATAAATATTTCATCTTACTAAAGTAACGTATTAAAGTTGACCATAAGTAAAAATAGCACTTGGTAAGGTTTTGTTCCACCAGATCGTCCAATGCAATAAACCTTACCCTAACTTCGTTCTTTTAAGAATTTATACTGTCAAAAACTTAGTGTTCTAGCTAACAGCCATAACTATAAATTCATATTTATAAAGGTCATAAATCCAGTTTAAAAAAATATGTGGTGTTTAAATCACAACACAAGGCATCTTGCTCCATTTCATAGAAATAGTGGTCGCCCAGTGGTCAAAAACTCGACCAAAAATATGTAATGTATATTCGTTGACTATTAGATACTGAAGTAGAGATCCCATCTATATTGACCAGCTTTCCTAATTTTTAATTAAAAACATGTAGCTATGTGAGCCAGTCACAGAATGCGTGTCTTAAATTATATTTTCTGCCTAATCTTTTGTTGCTGACAAAGTTGATGGGTCATAACTGTTGAGCTCATAATAAGTCATTCCATAAGTTTGACTTGGTAAAACACATCGTGTATTCGACAGAAGTTAAATGAATAACTTCTGTCGAATATAGGATGTTTTTACTTACTAGGACTTACTATGAGCTATAGAAACTGTTATGATCAAAGCAATTTATTGGTGGCTCACATCACCTACGATGAATTTAAATAAAACTGGCAACAGCTTTAACATGGGGATGGAATGCCTAGTTGTAATTAAAAGGTAGGGAAAGGTTTCTCTATTTTCACACCAAACTGCAAATAAAACATAACATTGTTATTTCTTCCATTTGTTTTGATTTTCTGTTTATATTTCGTTGTTATTTCGTCACCAGCATGGCAACCCATAAAGCTCATGGTAATATTTTTTGATTTCAAATTCATTTTTCGTGCTTATATTTGAGCCTATTTTAATATTTAATGGGATTCTGCACATCTACAGGTAAATATCTTTCCAATAGTATGCGTAGATTTTCCCTGCGATGCACACGAGCTGAGAAAAAAGGTTTTAAATAAACATGCTTGCCTAATAATATAGTTATAGAAAAAAATCGAATAGAATCGTTTATCATGATTAAACATACTATACATGTAATTGACATTGTAACAAAAAAATAATATTTAGCCTAAATTAAACAGTTGTCATATTCATCCTTTACTCAGGTTCGCTTTTATGTAGGTCCATACTTCCAAAGGTAATGCAATACTGCATTCATCACAGTTATTTTTATTTTACGAACTCATATTATTAATCACAGTTAACCCTCCGGAGTGAATGAAAAATAATTATAAACAATACAGTTATTATAAAGATAACAATACAATTTTCATTTTTGCGTTAAAAAAAGGTGGCAATGAGACCGAATGCAAAAACACTAACGATGTTTTCTGTGTACTCCACAAACAAATTGATCGTTTCTCCGGGTAAAAAAATATCAAATTGTTTTCACTTAATTCTTGGATATTAACAGCTTTCTATTAGGTTGTGCGCTTTTAATTTGGTCTCTTATATTCACTCATTATTACAACAAAACGTTATAGATTTAAGTAACATTTCCCATAACATTTCAATACAAATCCTCTCTGTATACGAAGTGTGGGTCACGGATTCATACGCCCACTTATTTAAACGCGAAATCCTAACAAAATATCAAGAAAATAAAATAATTAACTAATTAATCTTTGAGAACATTATATTATTCGTATGCTGGAGTACAAATATAAATCCAAATCCTGGCTGAGTTGCTTTAAAGGGGCATTACGATTACTGCTGGTAGCAAAACTTATCATTTTTTACAAAAGCGACGAGGAATGGCATTAAAATCATAGCCTAATAACTGCCCCAGGCACTTTCTTGGGTTTACATTATTTTCTCATAAGCTAATTAATTTATGTATTTTTAGGAGGATTATTCGTGTTTTAAAAGGAAATCATAAATATATTCAGTGTGATGCTTAGATAATTTTCAGCTTAAATTTAAGTATCATGCTTTACTCGTTCATCTAAATTGGAAATAAATCCATTCTTAAACCTCGGAGAAGAATTTAAAGATTATAAAGAAAGAATACATTAGTATATTATATAAATTATTTTACAAATAATTTACAATAATGAAACATCAAGATGTACCCTTTTAAATTACTTAAACTGCCTTTCAATAAAAATGTACACCAACGTAAGACTAATTTGATATCTTTAAACTTGTAGGGGAACATCTTATCTTATCTTATCTAACAGGGGCAGGTCGAGACCTTAAAGCACTTCATCCGAAATCGAATTATTGCGCACCCCAGATACTTAATTGCTTTCTTGTTGACCTACAAGTTGAGGCGCCCAATGAATGCCTGTAACTTCCCAATTAGTTCATCCTCAGGAAGAAATCTACCTCTAGCCATATTTCCAAGAGTTATCGATCTAGCGTCATAGAGCTCATTACAATCAAAGAGTAAGTGATCAGCTGTCTCTTCTGACCTATCACAGTACCTACAGATCGGTTCACCATCATATAAGCCCATCCGTTGTAGATGTTTCCTGAATCTTCCATGACCAGTTATCAGTTCAACAATTAATTTAATTCTTCGTCTGTCTAGTCTCAAGAGGTCACAGGCAACCTTTTTGGAAGGCCTAAACAGAGTAAGCTTGCTGACCCTAAGAAGGGGAACATCGACCCAGCGTTTGCGATGCTTTTCCTTGGCCCATGACGCAATCGCAGAACATACACTGTTTCGTGAGATGCCACAGAAGGGTTGCGGGCCTAACAATGATGTCGCAGAGGCAGTATTTGCCAATCTGTCTGCAGCTTCATTTCCTTTAATGCCTGAGTGTCCTGGTACCCAGCAAAGCGTAAGGTCATTTCTCCTACCCAACTCAGACACAGAAGCAAGACAATCCCACACGAGCCTGGAGTTGAATTCGTAAGAGTTTAATGCTTTTAAGGTCGCTTGACTATCAGTAAAGATATTGATTGTTTTGTCTCTGATATCTTTGTTAAGATGTTCTTGAGCACAAACTAGAATGGCAGTGACCTCCGCTTGAAAGACAGTTGGGTACACCCCCATTGGAAGACAAATGCCAGTGCCTCCATTCATCCAATGCACACCTGCTCCAGTGCCCCCATTTTTGATCTTAGAACCATCAGTATAGCATTCTAAGTCACCTGTGGGTATGGGTCCTTTTCCGCCAGACCAATCCTTCCTATCTGGTATTAGTACTTTGAAAGGCTTTCCAAAGGAATATTTTTTGGACATGTGGTCTGAAGGTAAGTCCAATTCATCATTATGTACCACCTGAACAATTTTAGAGTGCCCTTTATTGTTCCCTGAGGCTATCCATAAGTTTTCGCATCTAAGGCGTTGGGCTGTTTTACTTGCTACCACCTTAATATAAATGTCAATAGGTAGCATGTCAAGCAGACAGTCAAGTGCCGCTCCAGGACAGCTACTTACTGCCCCAGTTATCATAATAAGAGCAAGCCTCTGAACTCCTGCTAAAGCTTTAACAGCTATAGTTGATTCCATCTTTGGCCACCACACAAGCGAACCATATGTAAGGGCGGGTCGAACAACAGATACATACAGCCAGTGCATAAGTTTAGGCTGTAACCCCCATGTGCCACTTACCATCCGCCTGCATGCCATAAGGGACCATTTGCCACGCTCAATGACTTTTTGAAGGTGTGGTCCCCAGTGAAGTGATCTGTCCAAAATCACACCAAGATACTTCACCTGATTCTGCAGCTCTATTACAGTACCCTGCAGTCTTAGTGGGCCGATCCCATCCAGTTTCCTCCTTCTAGTGAAGGGTACCATTACAACTTTCCTGGGATTTATAGAGAGCCCAACTTCCTGGCACCAACGGTCCACTACCCTTAAAGCTCTATTCATAAGGTCAGTTATGGTTCCGTGGAACTTTCCAACCACAAGGATTGCAACATCATCAGCATAACCTAAGGCGAAAACCCCACTTTCGTTGAGGGTCCTTATAAGGTCGTCTGCTACCAAATTCCAAAGTAGAGGAGAAAGAACCCCCCCCTGAGGACATCCTCGAGTAGTTCTTGCCTCGATCGTATCATTGTGGAGTGAGAGCCTAACCTTCCTACTGAGAAGCAAGGATTCAATCCATCTACAAATTATACCGTGAAAGCCTCTTGCTCTCACCGCATTAAGAATCGCTGGAGTACCAGTATTGTCAAAAGCACCTTGGATATCGAGAAAGGCACCCAGGGCCACTTCACTGCTCTCTAGAGCTTTCTCAATCTTGCTTACAAGTTGGTGCAGCGCAGTCTCGCATGATCTTCCTGAGACATACGCATGTTGATTAGTATGTAGAGGATGTGTCCTAAGAGCTGTATCCATCATATATCTTGAGACCAACTTTTCTAGGATCTTAAGAAAGAAAGAAGATAGAGAAATGGGTCTAAATGACTTAGGGTCAGTGTAACTATCCCTTCCTGGTTTAGGAATAAATGCAATACGCGAATTACACCACCCTAAGGGAATGTGTCCTAAGGCTAAGCTGGCTCTGAAAAGTTTACAGAGTGGGTGTATAATTGTATCAAGACCCTCCTGCAAACAAACAGGTCTTACCTCATCAGGACCCGGCGATTTGAAGGGTCGTAATAAGCCAACAGCCCATCTTACCTTGCTGAAGGTGACTATGCGGCAAGCAGTGCTCCACATAGAATGAGTGGCACGACGGCCCAGGTTAGGCCGCTCTGGACTCACCTCCTCCTGCTGCACTTCAGAAACAATACAACCAGGGAAATGAGTTTTTACCATTACCTTTAGTATTTCGGTAGGTTCAAAAGCCATTACACCATCCGGTCCCTCAACGGCACCCAAAGTAACATGCCTGTCTCTAACAAGTACTTTATGTATTCTAGAAGTATCCTTGATACTCTCTAAATTTCCACAGAAATTTTTCCATGAAAGCCTTTTGGCCTTACGTACTGCATGGTTATATTCTGTGAGAGTTGTATGGTATATATCCCAATTATTGGTTATCTTTGCTCGCCTAAATTGGGCCCTTACTCTCTTCCTGAGAGAGGCAAGTTCAGGACCCCACCAACTAGCCCTGTTGCTCTTTCCCTTGCTCAAAGGACAATTATCCTCAAAGGATGTAACTATGCACCTAGTTAGACGATCTGCCGCCTCGTCAAGCGCATCAACTGTGTTTATAGGAGATGTGTCAAGGTTCGAGGCAATTCTGCCCCGAAGATCAGCTCTGAAGGATGCCCAGTCGGTTTTAACTGGGCTCCTGAATAAGCGAACCTCGCCGCAGAAATTCCCCAACCCGAAGACAATGTGCCTATGATCAGACAGGGATGGCTCAAGGGACACTGACCAGTCAATAATCCTGTCAGCCATACCCGCCGAACACAGGGTAAGATCAATTACTGATTGGCCTATCCTGCTTAAAAAAGTTGGTTCAGAGCCTACATTTGCAACAAGTAGGCCGCAAGAAGCTATATGTTCTAGAAGTAACCTACCTCGGTTGTTAGTGTCCCTGCATCCCCAGGCCGTATTATGGGCATTGGAGTCGCAGCCTATCACGAGTTCGGATCCAGACTCGTGTGCGAGGTCGACCAATCTTCTGACCTCGGCCGATGGGAACAGTCCATCGTCGCCCTGTGGCATGTAAACAGAGGCCAGCAGCAGTTTTATGTTGGATTTAGTGCATACAGTCTTAATTACTGTTACGTCCCTCGAACAAAGCTCTAGAACTGGATTACATTTTAGCCCCTCTTTAACCCAAATGCAAGTTCTAGGGTGTGGTACAGATGCAGAGAAGATGCTACCCTTTATAGTTCCCATCCCCGCAATTCTAAAATTATTGATCCAGGGTTCCTGAATCAAGGCATAATCTAAGGACTGCTTAACCGTGCTCAGACAGAACACAGCCGTGGCAGCCTTACTATGTTGTAGGTTCGCTTGGAGGACCTGGGTCATCACAGGGAGCACCAGAGATAACTCTGAGCTGTATTTTCCCCAGACCCAGATAGATAATCCAGCCACGATCTTTCAGAACCTGCGCATTCATTTCATCAATAGCAAGAACAAGAATCTGATGATCATCCTTCCTCTTCCCACCAATGACGCGCCAGTCCTTAGTCGTGACACCAGGATTTTGCCGCTCAATCTGAACAAACACTTTAGAGGCTTCGACCTTGGCCAAGCGCCTGTCAGTGCGTAGGAGCACTTTGGTCGTGCGCAACAGATCCTTATAGTCTGCTACAATGACCTCCATACTCCCCTCACTTCCCAGCGCCAGCTTCGGTGCCACCCTCTTTAGCCAGTCAGTTGTTTCAGAATTACCACAAGTAACGACAAGAGCACCCTTCTCATGGTAAATTTTTTCAAACTGATGAGGAATGTTGGCGCCGTCATCACCAAACACCAACTCCATCAGTTTGTCCTGCAACAAATCACATTCCTCAACAGAGAATCTCGCATCGGGATAGGCCGCTGGAGCTACTGCCAACTTGTGACCCACAAGCTGATCTCTGTAGCTGGCCTTTCCTGCAACGAGTCCATCTGCTGATTGATTAGAGTTTTTATTTCTCTTAGGAGGAGGATTTTGAGACGACCCAGGGTTACTATCGGATCCGGTTCTACGCATCGGTGATACGCCTGAACCTTCCCCAGGAGAACTCAGGGACTCTCGCTTCCTCTTTCTCCACTGTCTGTTAGGGATCCACGTGCCCTCAGCCTTTTTCCTTTCTCTAACAGACATATTGTACTCAGTTTTGGTCATAACTGTAAAAGTGATCTCAGAGTCGGACGAAACATCCGCCAGAGATGGAGAGTCACCAGCACTGCTGGTGTTTAGTGGCTTGTTCAGGTCCGCATCTAACCTGTGGCAAAGCTCAAGCACATCAGTTGATGAATTGGGTGGAGTTCTTGCTGTTAAGGAACTTCTCGAGAAGACCTCTGGCGTGTCCAGGATCTCCCCAGGTTCCGTCTCCATAGCGGTGTTCTGAACAGTAACATTATCATTGTTAAAGGAAAGCTGATCGTTGCCCTCCCCAGAATCCATGGGCTTGTCCTCCAAAAAGGAGGAGTGGGATTCCCCGCTTGAGCAGGTACCCACCTGGGGTAATGATTCCGTTCGTTTACTTTCAGCCATTACTAAAACAAGAAAAGCAAAAAAGTTAGCAGTTTAGCAGCCGAACCGTGACCCACTCACTACGCCTGCTAATATCCAAGACTGGACCCTTTCGGGGTAGGACCCCTCATCGTCTCCAGCTCAGTCCTGTCACAGCTGCACACATACCTGTAACAGTTGGCGGTAACATTAGCTATCTGGGCCTTGGCCGGATTGGTGATTGTCACCTCCGCCCAAGGCCAGTACTAGAGCAGCCGCTCCCTACCCTAGGGCTGTCTAGTCACGACACAGCCAGCGCTAGATCCGCTGCCTTCAATAGTAGGGGAACATATTTTTCACTATAGTTAAGACAAAAAAATGCATTAAACTGATTAAAAATGCAAAGAAATATGACTGTTACAATTTGTATACCATGTCCACGAAATATATTTTAGGGGAGTAACTAAATGTTAGGTAGTGATTTTTAACAAATGATTTATAAGCTTGTTATAGGTTTACAACGGTTCTACAAGACTAATAAAATGACGGTTTACAAGATCTGACAACCGATTCGATGGTCTATATTCCGTCCCAAAAACAATATTGCAGGCTCACGCCTCACTAACATTCTGAATACCAACAGTAGTAGAACGACTAAACGATACGGAAAATGTCCTCAGAACAGCGGTCGTCTGTCTAACTTTTTCGAAAACAGAACTATTCAGATAACATTTAAGCGTTTTTATCTTTTGACTGTTGTTGGAAGGACACGTGTGATAAAAAAGACAATTCAGTTACTAGAAACAATTTATTGCCATCACTTGAATTGTAATACATGTTAAAGAAAATTAGTAGTCATTTGTTGTGTACGTCTTATATTATGAAGTTGTTGGTAGATTTCGGAATCACACAATTATTTAAAATTGTAAAGAATAAATTAGATTCACTATTCTACTATAATTTAATTAGGTTTACAGGTCAACAAAATCAAATGTAATGTAAAAAAATAAAAATTGATTACTCTGGACTGTTTCAATTTAAAACCGACTTAATACGATCCCTAAAACATTTTTTTGTCTAACATAGCATTACAAATAAAAATCCTAAATAAGTAAAACATATAAGAAATTGAATTTGAATTCTATTTAAACATTTGAGATATATTTTCCTATTTGATATCACTCATTTTCTGAAAACTAACTATCGATAAAAAACTTTGTCTGAACGTTATTTAGAAAGGTCTTTTGTGCGCATAGTGTTTTTTCTTCAATATATCGTTTGGCACAAGTGAATGACGGAAAAATGTATTGATATTGATTTACAGAATTTATCCACGCTCATTTCTTTCAAAACAGTTAGATTTATCTCTTTTACAAGCAAACCTCTAAGTTAAAATGTCAACTTATTAGTATAAATAATCAAACGTTAGCAAACAAACTTTCACTGAACCAAGATACAACCAAGCAATTATTTTAGCAATTGATATTCCTGTACACAGTTTTCCTTCATAAACTCTAACCTTTTCCAGTGTAAACTATTACCACATAACAAAATCATAGTTTCTAAAACACTTAATTTATTAGAGAGTTACTAGTTATTTACGACTGCAATCACGAGGAAATTTTCCGGTTCATTTACTTAGAAAAAAAAATACTCAGTTGACTTTCATGAGATAGTATTTGATCTAAAGTATAGTCAATGAGATCGATTTATCTTATTTTTCGACGTTTTAAGGTAAAAATAATATGTTGTTGCTGTCTCTGCGTGTGGTGAAAATATGAAATTTATATCATACAAATAAACATACCTAAAATGCCCAGTTTTGTAACGTGTCGTAAAGGTAAGATTTTTACTGTGTGTATGAATAAGTTTAATCTTTATAACATGTTTTTTTATATATTTTTGTGCTTATTAAACTATTAAAAAAGTTAAGGTTTTTGAGCTTCTCCTTTATTAAAGAAAAGACATAGCAGGCTAGTAAGTATTGCTGTGTCAGGTTAATTTAACTATTTAAATTCAAGTTTGACTAAGGTTGAGAATCAAAATTATTAATTAAAGCTAATAGAACTTTGGATTTTTTTCCCTAGGATATGAAATTCTAAACATGAAATATAAGAAATTATCGAGAAACATAGTTTTATAGCAATTGACATGAACGTTTATGTTCGTTTACATAGTAAAATAAATATAACTTAAATGTGACAAAGGGGTACTTAAATCTCTAAATCCTCTTTTCCACTTGTTTGGAAAATAAAGGATGAATTTACCTGTTTAAAACCACCTAGCTTGAAAATTTTCATAATCAAAATTTACTATTTGACAAAGATTTTAAATACTGTTAACCATTGGCCATCTTGATCCAAGGACAGATGATCAACAAATGGCCTTATCTTAAAGTTAGCGCTTGGCGACTGACGCTAACTCATACTGTGCTAGAACTTACATTAGATTTAGATATAAAACAATTTAGTGTATAAAACAACGATTCAAACGAAAACAGAAGTGAACATATTTTGTTACCTCCAAAAACATGTGTAATGTCAACAGCTCACAATATTGAAACCTCGTTTCTAAAAGCAAGAAGCAAGGGCAACCGAATCCCAACAAATAGGATTGATAACTAAAACCGACAACCAATAAAACGAATATCAAAATGGACAATTTTCCTCTTTGTTGACAGATAGCTACTTTGTCAATGTTTCCATTGGATGGTTTAATTGGGTTGTTTTATATCAACTTGTAAATTGATATCGTTTGTCGACTCAGTAGCTATTATTGCCATTGTATAAAGCAGTTTTTCTCACATATTTAACAATTCATTATGTGTTTTAACAGTATGTTTCATCAATATTGTGTGAAGTGATTCCATTTTATCCGAGCTTAAGTTTTACTACTGAGCCAAAACCGAATTTGAAAATTGAGCGAGTGTTGAAAAAACACGCTTTTTCCATGTGATAAACTATATTTCTGCCATAATGCATAATTAATTAACAAACCAAGCTAGATAATGAAAGTATTTTTCATGTAAGGATGTGAACGACTACTTCCAGCATGTTTTCAATTTTTCTTATGTAAATAAGCAGTAAAGTAAGTGATTCAATCATTTAGTCTAGTACGATTGTGTCACTATACATCATACCATAGATATGTCAAACAATTGACAAGAATGCAACAATAACAATAAGCTAAAACATAACCTAATAAATTAATTGATGAGTATTTTCGATCCATGCAATCACATGGTTTAAAATTATTCATCACAATCATTCATATAGCATGATGATTCAACTGGCATAAACAGTTGGAAATCTCTTTATAATCAACATTTACAACTGTTTACGCCAATTGACCTATAAGCTACTCACTTTTAGACTAAAATCTTTTTACCCTTTAGGGAGTAAAAACGTAATTCAGATCCGAAACGCTCGTAAAAACGGCTGTTTTTGATGCATTATGACGAAAAATAGTAACTGTAATATTATATTACGCTTACCTTTGGAAATGTAAAAGGTCTCGTCAATATAAGCCTTGGCCCTGTAAGCCACATGAGATAGTGTGTGGGATAGGCGGCTCGGCTTACAGGCACAACACTACAAGTAAACTACATTAGCTCAACGCTTCTTGCAGATCTAAGAGTTATACCTTTTCTGGCTAAGATAATAAATTATTTTCTATCGTAAAAAATAGTGTTTTTAAAATATTAAAACCATATATTTTTGTGATTGAATGGCTACTGCTAGAGCTCTGTGGTAAAACTGTTTTTGATCTATAAAATTGCATACGGTAATATTGTTATGGAATAAACTCTTTAATTACTCATATGATATTCCTTATACGTTCTAACATATAAATATGGTTATTGTGAAGAGGTATATCATGGATAAACTTGTTTTTATTGCCACAGTTACTGCACTGAGGTAGAAACGTAGCACTGGGTATTTAAATCTGTAAATGAGTTAAGGATGAGTGTAGGATGTGTTGATGTGTAGTATGGTAGCTTTATTATGTATGATTATAAGCATACATATTACATGTATAAATATATACTTTTTGTTAAGTGTTAATATGTAAGTTTAACTATCAATTGTATTTAGGCATAATTGTTTAATTTCTCTTGGCTACAAATGAAAAATTTATAATTTTTTAACCGCTTTTATGACCAAGGCTTAATACATAGTTGTAAGCTTTTGTTTGGTTATCTGAGTCTTAATAACAACCATAACTAGCTGTAAGTAAAATTATACTTTATTTGAGGCTGAACAGAAATGCATTAAGTTAAAATTGTTGACAAATGATAGGCTTACGTTAATTAATGTCACTATAGAAAAAATATGTGTTTCGAAAAGCAAGATAGACTCCTTTGCTTGTAGAAACCCTACATCTAGATAAAATAATTATTGCTTAATGTAAGCTGTATGCAAGTTCATGTCTATATTGTAATTTCAAACTTGCAATTTCAAAGTACCGTAAACAACAGTTCAGCTTAATATCAGCCCGTAGTAGTAATCCAATTCACTGTTATGGCCCAACTTGGCCATGGGTTTAGCTTAATCGCTGATTTACATTCAATTCTCAACATCACAGCCAACTTGCAATCGTGTTATTATAAAAAAGTAAACGTTGCTCTAAAAAATACTTAACATATATCAGTTTCAAAACAATCCTCGTCTGGGTGGATGTAATTAGTCAATCGTTGTATATATTGTAGCTTTTACACCTTTTGGATTTTATTTTGGTTTGTTTGCCAAATATCCATATAATGTTTATACTGAATAAAACAATAATTAAAGCAAAAAATGAACACTCATTATTTTTTGTAATGTAAAACATAATCATCTTTCAACCTCATTTCAATAATCTGGCTATGCAATGCTATGAAAGAAAAACAAAACAAAAAAAACTCCTCATGACCCACCCTAGCTGAAGAAAGAATAATTATGTTTAGTTTTAAATAATCAAAGAATATTACTGAAAACCCTTTTTGTTAATTTATTTAATTTCTTACGCCAATCAAAATAGTATGTTTGTCAATTAAATCTGTCAAAAGATAAAAACCAATATTTCACACACATGCTCGTTGATGGAAAACATAGCAATTAAAAAAAGAAAAACACCTGTACCACAGTATCAACAATACCTACTTACATACAAACCAAAATGCATTAAAAAATATATATATATATAACTTAATTATTTAAAACAACAATAAATGAAACAAGACTATTTACAAATGTGTGGAAATAAGATTTTCTTTAAATTGAATAAAGACCTTTCTTTA